TTTTGCATCTTTCCCAGCTGAAACTGTACCCCATTAAACACTAATTCCCCATTCCGCCTCCTCCCAGCCTCTGGAAACCACCATTCTTCTTTCTGTCTCTATCAATTTATCTATCCTAGGTTCCTCATGTAAGTGGAATCGTGCAGTCTTTGTACTTTTGTGTCTGGCTTATTTCAGTTAGCATAATGTCTTCAAGGTTCATCCACTTTGTATGTAGCGTGTGTCAGAATTCCCTTCCTTTTTAAGGCTCAATGATATTTCATTGTATGTATAGATCACATTTGGTTTATCCGTTCATCAGTTGATGGACATTTGGGTTGTTGCCGTTTTTCGACTATTGTGAAGAGTCCTGCTGTGAACACTGGTGGACAAATATCTGTTCAAGTCCCTGTTTTCAATTCTTTTGGGCATATGCCCAGAAGTGTAAATGCTGGATCATATGGTAATTCTATTCTTTCATTTTTTTGAGGAGCTGCCATACTGTTTTCTACAGTGGCTGCACCATTTTACATTTCTACCAGCAATGCACAAGGGTGCCTAATTTCTCCACATCTTACCCAACACTTGTTTTCTGTTTTTTGATGATAACCGTCCTGATGGGTGTGAAGTGATATAGCATTGTGGTTCTGATTGGACAGGGCGATATTGTGCTTGCTTCTTCTACCACAGTAGACTGAAGGGTTTATAAGGACAGTCCGTACCTGTGCCTGCCTCAGTCACCTCTATGTCCCCTACCCCAGCAGAGTGCCAGCCCACAGCCACTATTGACCAAATAACTAAGCAACTGAGAATGAATGCAGTTCAGTCCAGGTGTCTTTTGAGAGCTCAGCATCCCAGCTTTCCCCCTGTGAAGCAGGCATCATCCACACTGCAGAAGACGGGGGGCCTAGGCGTGGTCCTTCAGTGGCTGAGCTGGAAGCAAGAACCAGTCCTTTGCACCACTTTCCCAGGATAGTCATTTGCTTTCAGGTGATCTTTAGGTCACTCTTGCAGCTAACATAGACCTGGCTGGCCACCCCACTGCCTACGAGACAACATTCAGGAGGGAGGTGCTGTCATACCTAGACAGGCGAGATACGTAGTTCAGCCAAGCCCCTTTGCAAGGGACAGCAGCCCATGGTTTTAGGGATCTTCAAACTTTTCTCATTTCCTTGTATAAAATATACTCAAAATTTGTTTGAATCTTCTGAAAAGAAATGCCATGTGAGAACTTGGAAGCAGCCCTTGTATGTATGGGCCCTTTAGAAATGCTTCAGCTCAGGCTGAGTTGGCGCGGGGAGGTGAGCTGAGAAGTGTGTGCGGATTTGTGTGAGTGACTGCACAGCTGCATTTGGTGGGTCAGCAGTGTGGGTCGGGGGATGTCCCAGGCCGGACAGCCTCCTCTACCCTCATTCCTGAACATTTGGTCTTGAGAAGAGTATAAGGGTCTTGGTACTCACCCATCACTTTTTCTAAAGACTAGCACAGCCCACAGTGTATAAACGCTCATCCGCCCAGGATGTCCCATGTGGCTGCCACACTGAGGGCAGAGAGTGAGCATTAAGCCTGACACTCTGCCTGCCAGGCCCTCCCATGCTCTGCAGTGCTTAGCTCTCCCTAGACCCCTCGAAGGTCTTTTGAAGTCAAGGTCGCTGATGTAGGGAGTCATGGAATTAGACCTAGAACCCAGGTCCCAGGTTTCCAGTCCAGCCCTGCCAGCAGATGTTGGCTTTGGCAACCTCGCCCTTTCCATGGGGATCCGCATGAGTCGGCCAGCACCACACCCCTGTTTCTAGGTGTTGGACACAGATCAGTGTTGGTGGAAGGATTCCTTAGTGGGGTGGGGAGTGGGCCGCACAGCCCCCATGGCCTCTTTCTCCACAGGAACATTTTACAGTTCTGTGCCTCCAGAGTAAGGGATCGTCCTGAGAATTAGGCCCTTGCAGCATTACTGAGCCACGCCAGCCTTCCTTCAAGAGGGCAGGCTCAGCCATCGGACCTGCTGACTGACGGCAGAGCCCACCCTGAACCCCTTTCTGGAACCACAGCCTTCTAGCTCTTTAATGACCCATAGGGAGTCTCGCTATCCAGCCATCTTATGGGAAACTGAGGCTCAGAAAAGTTTAGAAACTTGTGCAAGTTCACACAGCTACTTAGAACTAAAAGCAATTTCTTTTTCTTCTTAAACTATTTTATTGAGGTATGATTGATATGTAACAAGCTGTACATATTTACTTCATACAATTAAATGAGCTCAGGGATAAGTATATATCCCTGAAACCATCACCACCACCAAGGCCACAGACATATCTATGGCCTCCCAAAGCTTCCCCCAAGCCCCCTTTTTTATTGTTTGGGGGGGCGGGGTTAAAGAATGCTTAAGGTAAGGTCTGCTTTCTTAGCAAATTCTAAGTATACAATACAGTATTGTTAGCTATAGGCTCTATGTTGTATAGCAGATCTCCAGAACTTATCTTGCATACCTGAAACTTTATACCCCTTGACCATTCACCCCATCATTTTCCCTCCCCCATCCCCAGCCCCTGACAACCACCATTCTACTCTCTGCTTCTATGAACTTGACTAGTTTCGATTCCACATGTAAGTGAGATCATACAGTATTTGTCTTTCTGTGTCTGGCTTATTTCACTAAAACCAATTCCTTGGCTCCCTATACTGTGTGTTTGTTTCATCTTGTCTCAGATTTCAGCAAAACTCCCAGCAGCCAGGACGCCTCTACCATGAGAAAGTAGGTGTAATGTCCCAGCCACCTACAGAAGTGAGAGAGCCCATGTGTTTGGATGTGGCTAGGGATAAGACAGTCTCCCCAGACCCGGCTCCTCCACCCCTGCAAAATGTGTATGTGCCTTTTCAAAGCTGCCATTTCAGTCTTGATTTCAGTGTAGACTTTGAGTCAGACACAGGGGGTTCAAATGCCAGTTCTGCCCCCTAACCAGCCACTTCGGTAGATCAGGAACCGCTGTGAGCAGGAGCTAATATACGTTGCAGCCTCAGCAGCGCCTTCCTGTACAATAAACGGAAGTTTAAAAATCCTGGTGCTGGAACTTGGGTCTCTCCAGTAGAACCTGTAAGTCAGAGAAAGGCTCAACACCCCACAGAGGAGAGCATATGTGGGGTGGGGGTGGGGGGACAGAAAAACGCAGCCCTCGCGTTTTGCATACTCCTGCAGGCCTAGGGCCTAGGCCAGGAAGAAGGACAATGGTTGTGGGACAAAAACACAAGAAATGGGAGAGACATTGTTCCATTTGGGCTATATTTATTTATGAAAAACTTATTCAAAAGTATCATGTGTTCATTGTTTAGGAAGTACAGAGGCCAACACACACACACACACACACACACACACACACACACACACACACACACACAAATATCACCACAGTCCCATCATCCAGAGAGAGCCATAGCCTTCCCAAGTTGTCCTCTGCATATTTGCTTAGTCCACCTCAGTTTTCTTAATTAGGGATCAGGCTTCTCTCCAAACCACTAGTTATTTTTTTGAACCTACAAGATGTTACAGATGTCTTGCCATGTAAACAAGCCTACATCCCCACCCTAATTCTAAGAGGCTGCCTCCTATTTCACCATGAGGTTGGACTACTCTGTATTTGAATTCTGCATTGAAAGGCCTGGGATGGGAAGAGGAAGGTACGGAGGGACAAAGACCAGAGGCTGGTTACTCACCGGGGTGCTCTATTCTCCGCACGCAGCTGGTGTCAGGTCTGGATGACTTTGACAAGATAGACATCTTGGCTCCCTTCACTTTTCCTGGTGATGGGGAACCCCAAGGCCAGCAGTTTTCCAGTGTGTCCTGTACAAGCAGCAGTACAGAGGACAGGTGACAGTGGGACCAGGCTGGATTAAGCATGTACGTCTTGGGCTGGGGAGAGGACCAGGAGGAGGGCAGAACCCTCCCCAGCCCCACCAGCCAGGGCAGCCCCGAGCTCAACAGCACTGGGCAGAGTCCATTGTGAGAGGCAGACCTGGTCCACAGCCCTCTGTGGGGTTTTGAGGTCCACCTAGCTCAGGCCTATACCCTCTTTGGGAGCACCACAAATGAGAATTAAACTGAATCCCATTGGTACAAAGTGAGCAAACCCACAGAGTAAGATCAGTGATGCCGGTGGTTTCCATTGGCCTGGACAAGGCAGGAAAATAAAGAGATCTCATGGAAAGGAATCTTCAAGAGCCCTCAAGGCCTTGAAGAGCTAACAATGCTGATTGTTTAGTGTGGGTCAAATTTAAAACAGTGGCATGGAAGTGGCAGTCCAGCCTGGCCAGGTCCCCCCAGCCACAGGCAACATGGTGCTTACAGGCCACACTGGAGATCTCTAGGACCCTCACAGAAGGGTCTTAAAGTGTCATCTGGCTCCTTTGGGTACAGCCTCAGCTCCCCATCTGTAATAGCAGGGGCTGAACTAGAGGGTCTCAAAATCCCTTCCAGTTTTTCAAGTTCTATGTATCTTGGGAGCTGCCCATGTTTCATAAGAACATCAAATGCTTTTGGCATTAGGCTATCTAGTACGGTACAGTGTTCATCCAGGAGTGAGGACTCTGGGAAAGATGATCCTAGGCCAGGGGTAGCACTGCCTTCTCTGGGACAGAATGACCCCTGTCCTGCTAAGGAGAACCACACCCTGAAGGTCTGAGCCTGGGGCTGAGCACAGGGCACTAAAGGCCAACAAGCCTGGGTTTTGTCCCTGCGTCTCCTCTTTTCAGCTGGGTGACCCTGTCCTTTGGTGATAAAATTATTGATCCTTACATGCTCAGCTGCCTGCCTGGACCGATAGAGGATAAAGAATGAATACCCATGAGGGGAAGAGTCCTCTTCCACCCAAGAAGGGCTGCTCCTGGAGCAGGGAGCCCACCCTCTCACCTTTCTCTGACCTTTGTTTTCTAGAGTCCCTCCCAGAAGGCCTGGGGAACAGGCCAGGTTTGGAAGCCAGCTGGTAGACCCGGGAGACCAAGGTGATGGTGACCGCCATGCACTCTCATTGCAGGGAACAGCAGCCTCTTCCAAGCTGATCTCTGTCAGGAGCATTCACAGGACCTGCCCCTCAGCAAGTGCCACAGCAGCACCCAAGACATCCGGAAGGAGACCAGGAGTATGTGGGGTCTCATGGTGGTCGCCCAGCTGCTGGCAGGCATCGGGACAGTGCCCATTCAGCCATTTGGGATCTCCTATGTGGATGACTTCTCGGAGCCCAACAACTCACCTCTGTATATCTGTGAGTCACCGGCTTGAAGAGGGCTGCAGAGAGAGGTTGGGTCCTGACGTGACACCTGCTCAGACCCTGAGGAGCTGAGTCAAGATCTAACCCTCTTTGCCCCACAACACAGCAAATGAGTGAAAAGGTTTGGGGGTCATACAGACCTAGTTTGGGGGCCAGCTCTGTCACCTACCAGCTGTGGGATCCTGGACAAGTGACTGAGCCCCAGGGCCCCAGGTTCCTTGTCTGCAGAACAGAGCTGACAGTATCTGTGTCCTGGGGAGCTGGGGGGTTACATGAGGTCGTGTATGTAACCACTTAGCCCTGTGCTGGGCACAGGGGACCTCCTTGACCAGCAGTAGCTACTGCTGTCTAGTCCTCCAGGCATAGGCCGGGGTATACATGTCTTTCTGAGCCGTCCACTTAGGAACAGCTTGGCCTCAAAGAAGCACATGCAAAGGAGATAGCAGATGACTATTTGACTGCCCAAATCCTTCCTTTACAACAAACCACACTGAGCATCCTCAGGGCCCACATCCCAGACCAGACAGACCATCCCACTAGCTCTGTGGCCTCACAAGCTCTTGCCAGGGCTGCCAACATTGTCCCTGCAGGGAGCTTCACACACCAGCCCAGCCCTGGGCTGGCATCTTTAAATGCCAGGGAGGTTGCTTCCCTTCTGGCAAGTGGATCTCTCTGGCAGCTGGCTGGAGGAGAAACAGCTCTGTTTCTGCACATCTTAGGATCTTGAGTGGTCCTGGCCTTGTCCATGGGAAATGCCATAGGTATGAACTTATCAGGGTCAGGAGACAGATGGGGTGACAGCTCAGGAACCCCTCAGCTAGGGAAAGAGCCAGGGGCTGCCACACCCTCTCCATCCCCCTCAGCCTCCTTTCCCTGCTTCCCTTTCCAGCCATTTTATTTGCCATCTCCGTATTTGGACCAGCTTTCGGGTACCTACTGGGCTCTGTCATGCTACAGATCTTTGTGGACTACGGCAGGGTGGACACAGGTAAGTGAGTTCAAGTACACCCATCCCATTGCCAGTTCCACGAAGCAGCCTCCCCCGACTCCCAGCCAATCAGGGCACCTCTCTTACTCACTCACCCACTCCTACAGTTCCTCAGACAGCCAGGAGCAGACACCATGCACCTCCTCTCACCAGGGCTCACGCTGAATGCTATGAGAGGTACGCTGCAGAAGAAAACACACTTTCTGCCCTCAAGAAGTTTACAAAGGGAAATCTTGAGACCTAGGGCAAGGCCTCCAGTGTTGCCACCACAGCTTCCCGTCTTGGTGGTAGTATTAAAAACCATTCCCACCAGCCAGAAGTTGGGGCTGAAAGGCAGGTCTGAGCCAGACCCTCAGAAATAGCACCTCTACCATGCCCAGTACACAGGTCAGAGCCTGCCCATCTCAGAAAGCATATGGGCAGGCATGAAACCTGACCGTGCTGCCAGAGCTTACAGGCTCCTGTCCCTGGAACCATCAAACCATGATGTCATCTGCACAGGGTCATCTGCCTATACTTCAAACAAAAGGGCAAAGCCAGGGTCAAGCCATCTTTGCCCTTTCACTAGCACTTTCTGTGTTGGTTCCTGGCTCTTAGTTGCTCAGCTGAGCTCCCAGTCCACCAGGCACAGTGCCCAGGGATGCCTGTCATTGTTTGGCTGAGAGCTATTCTGCTACCTTCTCCCTCCCTCCATTCCCATGTAGTTTCTTTACCAAGAGAAACACAATGGCAGACTGTTAGATGCAAATGGGAAACTTGCCAGGAGAAAGCATCACCTTCGGAGGCCAGGCAGCCCCTTCTGTTGATGGTTGTCTCCTTGGGCTCATAAGGATCATGAGGGCTCCTTTCTTAGGGACCAGTACAGTTGGGAGGCAGCAGCATCCAGTGGTTAAGAGCACAGATTTGGACACCAAGAAGACATAGGCAGGAAATTGACCAATAAAATGGTACTTACTAGCCTTAAGTACAAGGAAGGGCAAAGTTGACCTCTCTGATCCTCAGTTTTCTGATTGGTTGGAGGTGGGTGGACTTAGCTCCTACCTTGTAGACTTGGTTGGAGAACCCAGCAGGACAATAGACATAAACACATGGTCTAGTGTCTGGCACAGGGTAAACCTTGAGAGAGTCATTGCCAACGGTTGGGAATAAAATAAGGTGAGGCCAAGGTTCTGATGTCCTCAGTCTGGGAATTCTCTGATGCTCTGTTTCACACACAGTGGTCTCCCTGGGCCGACCAGAATGGCCTGGATAGGGAACGTTGTCTTGACCAAGGTTCTGGCTGATGGCTTTACCTGTTTTCCATTGTGGAGAGAAAGTCTCCCTGATCAGAGGGTCTCTTTCCAGGAAGGTGAGATCATACATTCATCCAAAACACACGATGTCCTTTGCTTTCTCTTCAGCCTTAGTTAACTTGAGCCCCGGAGACCCCCGATGGATTGGAGCCTGGTGGCTGGGCCTGCTCGTTTCCTCGGCCTTCTTGGTTCTCACCTCTTTTCCCTTTTTCTTCTTTCCTCGCACAATGCCCGGAGGAATGGAGGTAAGGTTCTGAGAGCCCGTGACTCTCCCTATAGGAGTTTAAGGAAGGGAGGTAAGGGTAGAAAATAAAGAGAGCTGAGAAGCTGCAACAAGTTAAGCAAATTCTGGGTAAAATTTAAGTAAGGCGCACGACTCAGGACTTCTCAGAGGCTTTGCGAGGTGCGAGTGATGGTGAATTTCCAAGAGATGGTATCTCATCAGTGCTCTGTTCCCATATTAGCATCCAGGGAATGTAGTTCAGGAAACTCTAAGTTCATTTAAGTTGAGATACAGAATGAAGATCCAATAAAAGCCAAATATGTGACGGGGCACAGTTGATTTTTGCATTTCATGGGGCCCGTCATGCCTGAGTCTCAAGGGCTAAGTAAGAAGGGAGTCCTGGTGCTGAAGACAGTGAGGGCGGGCTGAGAGTGGAGCCTATTTTGAGCAGACTGACCTTCCATGCATTTCCAGTCATATCTGTTGGAGAAAGAAATCAAGGAAGCATGAGAATGAAAAATGGGGGGAAGAAGTCTGGGTGGGGGTTTTGATGTTAGGCTGATGGGCCTAAACCTTGTTCTGATCCCATGAAGTTCCGGGGTACTGCAGTGATGGGGTGGCCACTCAGGTAGCAATATGGCAGCTAGGTTGAGGTTGGGGAATCGGGAAGGAAGGAAGGCTGGGACCCTAAGAGGACAGGGTAGAGATGGGGGATGAGGCTGGGGGCCAGGGCAATGGCTGTGACAGCTGAGGCAAGGGCAGGGATGGACATTCTTGGAGGAGGCCTCAGCAGTGAGCTGGAATGGAGTAGAAGAGGGGCTATAGTTAGTGCCAAGGTTTTGAGCTAGATGCTGGGCAATGAGGTGTGTGAGATCTAGGTCCAGCTGTGGGAGGAGGGACAGGAGTAGGAGGATCTGGGCTTGTCTTGGGGAAAGATTTCAGAGGTTGGCTGCACATCATGGTGGTTTTGGGGTCAAACAGTTTGAATCCAGCTCTGCTACTTATAAACGAGCCAAGTGATCTTAGGCAAGCTTCCTTGTTCCTAAGTTTTCTCTACCTTAAAATATTGGAGATAGAGTATGTATCTTAGAAGGAGGTTGTGAGGAATGGGACAATACCTGTGGAACCCTAGGCACAGCACCCACCATGGAGTACCCACTCGATGAATGGGAGCTCCTGTGCCTGGCGATGAGCTCCCCTGGAGGATCCTAGGTGTCAGAGCTCAGGGGCCTTGCATCTGTGTGCGGTTCAGAGCTGCAGCTGACAAGTTCAGAAAAGGTCAGCACATTCACTGTAATGTAGTGCACAGAAAGTGTGGGCAGAGAGCCAGGACAGAGCCTTGAGCAGGACTCAACTTTGGGCCCAGAAGGAAGCAGATACTCCACAGGGGAGATAGAAAGAGAGAGCTGGAAACAGAGGTTGTGCTAGACTATAGTGTCCCGGAAGCCAGCGGCCCCTGGAATCTGAGGACAGGGAAGGAATGTAGCCACGCCAAATAGACAAGGGGTGATATCTAGTCAGACACTTTTTTGGCACCAGTCATGGGAATGTTAGATATGAAATAATATGCCCAGAGGTATCTTGGGAGGCATTGGCATGGATGCTTTCTAGTAAGCAGCTAAAGTATTGGGCTCAATGATATGCAAGGGGTGTTTGCTTCAGGAGAGCACTCTCTGGACGCCCTCCCACTCACACCTGGGGCAGCTCACTGCTGCCCAACCCTGAGCCACTGAGGGTAGAGGGGTCAAGAGTCCCAGGAGGGTGGCTGCAGGGAGCATGGGCCATTGACACTCACCTCCTTTGCTGCCTGCAGAGGTCTCCTGCCATAGAGGACGAGGCGAGGAAGATGAAGGAGGTCAAGCCAAGAGGCTCCCTGGTGGATTTCATTAAACGTAACTGACTTAAATCAAAGCCCAGGATGGGCTCGCTTGGTGGGAGTGCATCAGGGGGTACCCAAGCCCAGGTGGTACTGTGTGTGGTAAGGGGCAGTAAGAGCATGTGGTCTATAACTGGCTCATCTCTCAGGAGACGTTCTGCCAGGGGTCCCGGTGACTGCTTCTTGGTGGGTTCCAGGAAACCCAAATTCAAGCAGAGTGAACCCCACCCCCATAACCTGGCCCCCATATTCTTCTTTCTCCTCCCTTCATGTGGAGGTGCCTGTCATGTGAGGAGAATAGTCCCACTGTTCGTCTTATTTCTAGCCACCCTCCACTTGATTTCTTCCAAGCACATTCTCATTTTATTTAGCCCGTGAGCAGGTTGAGTTGGGGTCCAAATGGCTATGTGCTCCTGGACTGGTCACTGAACACCTTGGTGCCTGAGGTTCTGCCCCAAGGAAGAGAAAAGCTCTGTCTGGAAGGAAGCGGAAGGACAGTGGCCAGTCTCATAATATCCTGTGACTACTGCCACCCTCCAAGGCCTGGCCGCTGATGGCGGTGTGTTTGCAGGGTTTCCCCGCATCTTCCTGAGACTCCTGATGAACCCGCTCTTCATGCTGGTGGTCCTGGCCCAGTGCACCTTCTCCTCCGTCATTGCCGGCCTCTCCACGTTTCTCAACAAGTTCCTGGAGAAGCAGTATGGCACCTCCGCGGCCTATGCCAACTTCCTTATCGGTGAGTCCCGAGGACACTGCAGGAGCTGGGCGGCTTTGCAGGAGGGTGGGGCTGGGCCCTCCTGCTGCCCATCCAGGGACAGGCGAGGCCAGACCCGACACAGACAGGAGCCAGACAGAGGAGGACTTGCCCAGGAGAGAGAATTTTGAGGGCATTTTTCCTGGTTGTCAATCTAGAATGTTCTTGGCAGATTTCTGGGGCTTCTATCATTCCAGGCAGGAGTGGGTGGAGGCTGAGGGCTGCCTTCCTCCCTGTCAGAGGGGCTAGAAACCCAACAGCCTCTCAGAGGCCCTGACATCATCAGGGGCAACAGAGGAAAGAGAGAGGATTGAATTTGGAGTTAGGCGGAATGCCTCTTGGTTTTGTTCCTCCTTCTCAAGGACTTGAACACATTGCTTAGATAAAGAGTATGTGGCCCAGTGATTCGCAGCCCTGGCTGCACTTTAGGTTCCCCTGGAGCGCTTTAAAAAACACAGATGCCCAGGCCCCACCCTCCATCAATGAAAGCAGAGTCTCTGGGTAGGGCCCAGCATCAGGGGTTTTTGCTGCTGAGGTTGAGAAGTACTATGTGGTCTCACTAAGTATCTGAGTGAATCACTGGGCCCAATTCACAGGTGTGCTTGACCACATGGATGTGGCAAGATGGTCAGGGCATGACCTTGGACCTCCTGTGTGGCCCGTGGCTGTGACCCTACTTCTAGCTTTGGCCTCAGATTAGCACATGAGGCAGAGAGTACCACCAGTGTCTTGCTAACCCCATGAGATCACAGTGAAAATGCAATGAGGGGCCAGGTAATGAAAGGCGCTTAATAAATGCACATCAACCCACATCCCTCTAGCTGCAAGAACCCCATTTCTTTCTTTATTCTTTGCATAGGCAGGGCAATCCTCTACAGATATCTCTGTAAAATGTGCCTGGAAAGCAGTAAATGCTCAATTAATGTCAGCTATTACTATTGCAATGGAACATATCAAGTGTTTCTTTGGGAAGCCGTGTGTGCCCCTTCTCCGTGGTCCAACTCTGTGTCCATGCCCACATACACTCCACTCCCAGGCCTGTGTACACAGACCAGCCTCTCTCTCTCTCTACAGGTGCTGTGAACCTCCCTGCTGCGGCCTTGGGGATGCTGTTTGGAGGAATCCTCATGAAACGCTTTGTTTTCTCGCTACAAACCATTCCCCGCGTGGCTGCCAGCATCGTCACCATCTCCATGATCCTCTGTATCCCTCTCTTCTTCATGGGATGCTCCACCCCAAACGTGGCGGAGGTCTATCCTCCCAGGTAATGGGAATGAGGGGTGAGAAGATATCCTTTGCTAAGGCCAGAGCCTGGATCTGGCTCTCAGACGCCTTCCTTTCTGCTTCCTCAACTCTCTTCTTTTCTTTTCACTTGCTGATCTACTCTCTTATGTGGCAACTGAGAAAACCAGGTCTTGAATAGCGTGCTTAATTAAGAGAAGAAGTCAGAGGGTCCTAGTGGGCTACCAGCCATCAGGATTATGGTTCTATTTTTTAAAGAAGCCCCCAAAAGTAATTAGTTTGGTTTCAGGATGAATCTGTAGAGCTGTGAGCCTCCGAAACCAGGAAATAAGCTATGTATAGTATCAGCTCCATGCCGACTAGAATTACAGAGTCTCATTGAGCTGCTGAAGAAAGATGAGAGAAGGAGACTTGAGAAGCTCTGGGAAAGAACAATGAAAGTGATGGCAGACTTGAAAAATTAGGTCAGGTGAGGAAGAGGGCAGGTAAAGTATACCTGTGGGTTTGCATAAAGCAGCGTGGTTCTAAGTTTTAAGTCTGGCTTTATGTTCAGGAAGAGCTTTAGGGCCTGTGAGGGGCGGATGCTGAGCAGGGAGCATTTAATTGTTTTCTGGGTGCTACCTTTCAACCACCTTTTCTTTTAGATTTTGCCTAATGAGGTTACAACATTTGGAGTTGCTGTACCTTACAGCCTTGGTGTTTTCTCTCTTTCTCTTTAAAATAACTTCTTCTGTCTTTGCTGGGTGATGGAGAGAAGGGGTACCTGGGAAGGGAGGGTTGCTCAGGATGGGAACACCTATTCCTGGTTTGTATCGGTCTTCTGTAGGCTGACAATGGATTGAGAGAAGCTGAGAAGGCTTTGGGCCTTTCGGTGGTTTTTGCTAGGCGTTTAGCACAGGGCTTTGTCATCAGACTAGGTTCTAGTTCTGGCATCGCTCGTAACTAATTGGGGAAAGTTACTTAACTTGTCTAATCTTCAGTGTTCTCATCCACAAAAGGAGCATAATAATTATCGAGTTATTGTGACAACTGTGCATGAAAAGCCCTTGGGCACAGTGCCTGGCACATAAGAGACGCCCCATTAATGTTAATTATCATTAGTATAATTATTTTAGCAAAGCTTTGGACTGTAGTTTGTCAGCCCTATCCGAATCCTCCTCAAAAAAGATCATGAATATCAGACATGGGGGATGGTGGGAATGGTGAGATCAGCTAATGAAATCCCCCTGGTTGAAACTCAAGGGGATGGAAGGATCTGGACAATGTATACATAGACCCAGAGACGGAGCCATCTAGACTCCGCATTGCCTCAAGAGACCCCAGCCTATCCCTCAGCCTGAGCCCAGGTGGAACAGAAGGGAAGGGAAACATAGCCTGTGACTTTTGTGTAGCATCTGCTACCTCTCTTACGTATGAGAGTCCTGGTTGGTTGTTTGTCTTCACTTCTCCAGTGGGGGCTTTGCTGACCAAGACTTCCTGACTAATAGTTGGTGGGTTTGGGCTCCTAGTAGCAGAAGAAACAGAGAAGTGTCATGAGCACTGACCAGTAGCCAATTCACCGTTTTCCCCAATAGGCATAATTCAGATCCCACGGTGGCACTGGCCCAAGACAAACAGAGACACACAGGCACACTAACCAGGCGGGAACACACACTGGGCTGGAGAGGAGAGATTTTTCTTTGGTCTTGCTTTGTTTGAGTCCACGTTTCCTGTTTTGCTGGCAGCACATCAAGTTCTATACATCCTCAGCCCCCCGCCTGCCGCAGGGACTGCACATGCCCGGATTCCATCTTCCACCCGGTCTGCGGAGACAATGGGGTAGAGTACCTCTCCCCATGCCATGCTGGCTGCAGCCACATCAATATGAGCTCTGTAGCCTCCAAGCAACGGGTAAGGGGTCCTTGCATTCAGTGTGTGCACTTGCAGACCACTTTGAGGCTCCAGGATAGGCAGGGCGCCACCCACACCACCCTCATTCCCTGAATTCTGGCCTCTGGACCACACCTGGCGTCTCTCCACCTTCCCCTTCCGTAAGGTCGTGACCAGATGCCTACAGCCCAAAGTCAATTAAAGATTGGCCAATGTTCAACAAATGCACATTCCTGAGGTTTGGAGAAGAAACCAGCCAAAGCACTCCTTCAGCTGAGGCCTTCCAGTCTCATCCTCACAGATCCTAATGGGCATCTTTGGATCCTGCATCCTGGCTGTGTTGGAAAGCCCCATGGACAGGCCCAGCTAAATCAAGGGCAGAGGGTTCTCTGGGATGTGGACCTGGAAGGTTAGAGCTGGAAGTGGTGATCAAGGGCATTGAGTTCATCCCTGCAGCTCCCAGGTGTGGCCACACAACTGGCCTGAAGTCATGCCATTATTTAGGGACAGACCTGAGTCTAGGACTCAGGACCCTGTCTCAGCCTGGGAGCACATCTGTTCAAGGTCACACATGTCCTGGCCACCCGCCTTCCACTTATGCACCCCACATTTACAACACTAACTTGGTGCAGTCCTATCAGCCCTCTGAGTGCTATGGCTCCTGACTTTCTGGGATAAGTCAGCAGCAAACCAATTTGAGTCTCTTGTTCAGTTATTCAATAGATACTTAGTGGATATCCGGCATAGCCATGGGTGCTGAGGATTCAGTGATGAATCCATCAGACAAGGTCCCTGCCCTCATAGAGTTTGCATTCTATCAAATACATGCACAAGATCGTTTGAGACAGTAACTCATGCCATCAAGAGAGTTAATGGACAGAGAGTGGCTGGGGGCCCCTAAGGAGGTAACATTAGAACTGAGCAACCAGAAAAAACCCCTCTGAAGACCTGGGAGTGAAGCATTCCAGCCAAAGGAACAGCAAGCGCAAGGCCCCAGGGAGAGAATGAGCCAGGCATAGGAGAAAAGAGAGAAGGTCAGGGTTGGCATTGAGGAAGAGTGTTACACCCAGCCAGGCCAGGGAGCAGGCAGGGGCCAGAGCCGGGCAAGCCAGGTTAGAGCTGTTCAGAGTTGGGTGTTCTTTTTCCTACAAGCAGTGGGAAGTCTGTGTAGTTCCCCTAAGGAGAGGAATACACCTTATTCCCTTAGGGGCATTGTGTTGAGGTCATGGGCAAGGCTAGGCCCCACTTACCATCCTCCTCTCAGAGGACAGGGCAAGGCTGCTTCCACAGCCACTCTGTGGGCAGAGGAGCGTGGGTCTCAGGCAGGGGGAACACAGGGGGCTTGGACAAGATGCTCTCTCAGCTGCCTTCTAATCGAAGGAGTTTGTGATAGCTTCTGTGGTTTTCTTATCTTTATGCGTATTTACTTATCTCTGACTCATCTACTTTCAGAAATAATCTTGACGAATTTCCAACAACGGCATGAACCAAACATTATCATAATATGAAGAAAAAATAGTAAATTATAAGGGAAAATGAATCTATGTTTCAAAAATCTAGACTGAGGGAAGTAGTAGCCATATTGTATGTAACTTATTATTTCTGAGCTCCCTAGCAGCCAAAATAAAGAGGGTGCATAGTTCCTGTGGTCTGGTAGAAGGAAGTATACTAGCTCACTAGTTCCAGTCCTGGCCTTATAACTGCTTTGACACTTAAATGGTCATAGGCTAGTCCATCAGACACTGCAAGAGGGAAGGTGAAGACCACACAACACAGGCAGTGGCAGGGACCACCAAGGCGAGTTGTACAACATTGAGCCATATAAACTTGCAGACTTGGGACAGGGACCTCCTTCTCAAGAGGCCTTTACAGACAGGAGGGATTCCTCTCTAATGGAAAGCTCTGGCAAACTCCTGACAGATGAAGAGCTCAGTGGATTCAATTGTTTTCACTGTTGTCTCCTACTCTTATTTATACCTCCCTTACCCTCCCTGCAGTAAACACACAAACAGCAAAAACAACAACCCTCAAAACCACGCTGCTGGATGGCCTGGCCCAGAGGACAGCTTTTCAAGCCCCTGGTCCCAAGCTGGGTGGTCCCTGACTGGCAGTGGAACCCTGCATGTCCTGATGTGGGTACAACTGCTGGGGAGCCCAGCCCACGTTGGGTGAATGGTTTTAGTGAAGATGGTTTCTATTGCCCACACACTGGTCAGAGGCAGGATCCCCGGGACACCTTGAAACCCTCACCCGACATCCTCTCCAGCCTCCAAATCCAGCCTTGCCCAGCTCCCCAGGGAACCCGGACGGCAGAAGGGTTGAAACCTGAGGGACTGTCTGGCGAGAGCTGGTGCAGGTGTTTGACATGTGTGCAAAGAAGTAATAACAGCAGCTTTCCCCCTTTCTCCTCCGTCTCCTTTTCAAGGTCTATTTGAGCTGCAGCTGTGTGACCGGGGGATCTGCTTCGGCCAAGACAGGGTCGTGCCCCGTCTCCTGTGCCCCCTTCCTGCTGCCATCCATCTTCCTCATCTCCTTCGTGGCCCTCATCGCCTGCATCTCCCACAACCCCCTGTACATGATGGTCCTGCGGTGAGTGCGCCTCCTTCCCCACGTTGCCTTTCGCTTTGTGCCCAGCAGCCCGCTTCTGACGCTTCTACCTTTTCTGGTCCTCAGAGTCCTTTGAATGCGAGTATGTAACGTTCTGATCTGGGTGATAGGAGATGACACCTATCATGTCAGGCTCTGTGTGGCATCCCCCCCACACACACACACACACACAGCCCTGTTAGCACCTCCATTCTGCACTTGAGAAACCACTAGCCCAGGAGGGCAGAGCCACATGATGAAACCAGACTGCCTGGCTCCAATGCTGAGGGTTTATTTATTTTTAAATCCTAAAAGAACTGAGAGGTTCTGGAGAATTCAGTTGAATGCAAAATCAAGGACGGAAACTAAGGGAAGTTCCAGAGGCAGAAAGGGCTATGGGAAAGGATGAAAATGAGAAAAGCCCAGTGTGCAGGGAGCCAGGACTAAGTTCTCAGGTCAGAAGGGAGAGGCAGGCCAAGGCAGGAGGGGGCAGCAGAGGTGTCCCATTACAGGGCCCCCCCCATCCCCCAAAGTGCTTCTGAGGGTTTGACAGGGCATGACCCTCCCTTCACCTCACCCTCTGCAAAGGAGAAAACAACATTTCAATCAAGTTCACCTAACCCACCCCCTGCCCACCTCCCTCCTGTCCTCGCCCAATCACAAGCAGAAAGGGAAACCACAGGATTTGCATACCCCAGGGCCAGGGTTGCAGGCCTGGCTCTTTCATCCACTGGCTGAGTATCCTTGGGTGTTGCCAACTTCACTGAGTCTCAAATTCCTGGTTTGTAAAATGGGGTTAATGATATTGACCTCAAAGGATTGGTGTCAGTATTCTATGGTAATTCGTTTTTTAAAGGTGCTTTACATATTGATTAATTATCATTATTAACCAAATACTGGGTTGTCGGAAAAGTCATGATGCATTTTTGCAACGAAAAACATAGAAAAAATATGTCATGACTTTTCCAACAACCCAGGAATAATAATTATCACTATTATTAACAACTAGTGAGGTGCCAATGACCTGTTTTCCCCAGAAGCCTAGGAGATGAGGAAGAAGCAGGAGCAGCCACTTGTCAGGGTCTGGGATTTCACCCCCTCTACAAGTTAGTTAGCTTGCAAACTACCAAGTTCCAGTTTCTGCTACTGTTTCAAGAATACTGGCAAAAGGCAGAAGACTCCTGGGTCAAAGGCAAAGGACTTTGTTACTCACAGCATGACAAGCAGCATGACTCTCATGTTGCATCATCTCTTCTTGCCCCCCAAGTCCTAGGGGGTGACATGGAGGCCCCCAGGTGTATGTTTCCCATGCGGTGGGTTTATGTCACAGCTGAGGAAGACTGAGCTTGGGAGAGCCACCGCATCTATAGACCAAGCCTGCTCTTGGTCGAGAGGAAGATTTTACCTCGTGCTTCAAGGTTCTTGGAGCCACAGTCCTGAAAACTGGCCTAGGAAAGGAGCAGTGAGGACCTTGAATTCTTCACGTCCTCCACAAGAATGCGTAGGCTCAGAGACCATGGTGTAGCGCCTCTCACACACCATCATCACCCTCTTCTTACCACTCCCCATTCTGTGCATCCCAAAGGCCAGTGCTTTCACCTAAGGCCCTTCAGTGGGGTGCCTTTCTTGCACCCCAAGTCAGATGGACTGTGGTGGACGCTCTGGCCTGAGAAAGATCTGTGGGTGGCCATGACAAGGAAAGGAAACAGGATAAGGAAATTTCATGGAGTGTGTATGTGTGTGGGGGGGAGGCAATCTCTGTCAAATCACATCCCAGAGGACTTTTGTCAAGACCCGGAGACGGGGACGTCGTGGGGGGAAAGCATCATTTCAACCACAGGATGGCTTTTTCTAGAAAATCTCTCTCTTCCAAGTCTGGTCAGGGGCTGGAGTGAAACTGGAGAAGAGGCCCCTGTATCCCAAAATGGATTATCGCTAAATCCCAGTGGAAAAGATGAAAGAATGGATGCTATTGGGTTGTCGGAAAAATCATGACGTATTTTTTCTATGGTTTTCGTTGCAAAAATGCGTCATGACTTTTCCGACAACCCAATGTTTAGTACGAAGATGGTGAGGCTGCAAGATGACTTTGTAGGAAATCCAGGCATGATTTTATCAGTCCTGGCTCTCAGTTAGGCAGGAGAATACAGGCTGGGGGTGAAGTTTTGCTGAAAATGTGGGAGGAGAGAGAATGGCCAAAAAGACAGCATTAATTCAGGGTAGAAGGGGGCAGAGATCAGAAAGGGCTGAAGATCTCCATCAGAAGCCAAATTGGGGTGCCCAAGTTCCATTTAGCTGAGAACCTAGGGTATCTATCTGCCTGGGGATAAGGACCAAGACAAGGGGATATCTATTATGGATTGGGTCAACGGAGGGATCTGTAGGCACAAAGGGAGCAGCCATTAGATTGAGATTTGAGGCATTTTCCATGGGGGGTCCCAGTGGATGCCTCTTTCCCCTGCTACATCCAGTGAGCATTGCCCTCACCAGGCCACCCCTCAGAGACACTGGAAGGCCTTTTCCCACTTTATTTCCAGTTCCCTTCCTTGCTGTCCCCTCAGCCCCAACAAGCACCCACCCAGGAGTGTGTGTGCTCAGAGCACAGGGAAGCCTGGTGCCTCTGTGGCCAGCTTCTGGTTCCCCACCTTGTGTTTGGGGAGGGCCCTCCCCAGCCCTCTCTGCTCTATGCCCTGCTGGGACAGCAGAGCCTAGCACCTGTAGATAATCTCCCTCTTCTGTCTCCCTCTCTCTGTCTCTCTCTCTCTCTCTCTGTCTCTCTCTCTCTCTCTCTCTGTCTCTCTCTCTCTCTGTCTCTCTCTCTCTCTCCTTCCTCGGCCCAATACTTTTCTCCCTTCTTGCAGGAAGAAGGGCAGGGACAGGGCTGACTCTGTAATTTGCAGGACCC